CGATATGTATAGCTCCACATAAGTGCCAATGCTAAAGAAAACTTTGTGTAGTATGCCAATATGAACATGGAGTGGATTCGAAATTGACCATCCCAATTTAACTATTTAGATAAAGGGCTATATAGAAATTAAAAGACTCTAAGCTTGAGGAGACATCTGAGATTACCAAATAGAGAGTGGCCTTTAAAGCATTGCTCACTCAAACCGAATCAATGATGAAGACAATTTGGGAAGAGTTGTCACAATCAATCAAATAAGTTTATGATTGGATTGAAAAGTAAAACTAATCATACTTTAACCTCATTAATGAAAACACTAATCTAGCTGAATCCTCCTACAGTGATATAGAAAAATTAGTCAACTTTGTAGAAGGATCAACTTTAAATGATTGGAATGCTTCGAAAAATTCTTATATGAAGGAGTTAGAGAAGACCAAGAGCTGGTGGGACCAACATATAAAGGCTTTTATTGAGAAGTCTAACTAAGGAATTCAATAGATCCAATCATTAATTAAGTAAGCATTATAAATCTTATCTCGGGAAGATGAAGAAGAAGTTTAATAAATGAAGGAAAATCTTTATGAGATGCTAACCTACATTTAGGATATAGATGAATCTCTTTATTAGAAGATTCTTGAAAGACTTAGATAAGAGAAAGTTTCAGACATTATTGGATTCCTGTCAAAGATAAACAATCATCAGTTTTATGAATCTTTAATCAAGACGTAGGAGAATGTAAAGGATGTCAAGAAGTAAGTAAAGAAAATAACTAATGTCTTGAGGAATATTTAAGATCATAAATTTAGTAAGGATGACTATTCTCAAGAGAAATATGAAAAGGAAAGAGCTGATCTGATCAAGAGGATGAATAATAACAATGGGATCACATATTTCATCAAATTTTTAGTACGACTCACAAGCTTAGATGTAAAATTTATTCAATCAGGATCAAATGGACTTAGTTTATTAGTGGCCATGAAGGTAGATATAAGGTACCAATCCTTTGAGAATATCAGAATTAAGAATACTTCTTTAATTGG